CAGGAGTCTGCATGTGTTGCCTTTAATATGCCGGATCCTGCTATTCCATCAGCTGGAGTCCGGGCCTCTTTGCAGCTCGGAACACGATAAAGTGTCAACAAACCATTCCTGTCTCAAGGCCCTTCTGTGCCAAGCCTGCCTGGGTATCTAGGCCGGACTGGACTGTCATAAGAGTGGCTGTTTTCAGCTTATATGAGTTAATCATTGGTGGAATAATAATAATAATAATAATAATAATAAAGTTTTGATTAATCTGTGCTTAAATCAATAAGGTTGATTGATCTGTGCTTGAATTACTGAAATGAAATTAATTATTACATTGAATGGTTTACATAAATATGGTAATCATTAATGTTTGATTTGACACCTTCCGCACTCAGACACAAGGACAGATAAAAGTGAAGTTAAACTCATGACACAAAGGCATTTCTTCACCCCAGATCAGAGCATTCGGTATCTTAAGAAGGCGTGATGTCTGAGGTTTTCTTGGTAATATCCCTTACCATGGCACGCTCCGATTGGCCAAGTAAGTCATAATATGAGAATATTAAAACAGAATCACTGTGGTGATTCAGCAGTTGCATTCCAGCTTCCCATCATTCAGCATTCAGTTCTAGAGAGCGCTTCGGAATGGCCATCCGGAGCGACACCTCTTTAACCCTGAGCATTCTTGGCAAGCTGCCAAAACCCTGCTAAAAGCTGCCTATAGCTGACAAACGGTTCCTGCAGAACAAAGCGTATATTGTTCCGACTCCTTAAGAGTCCTCCGAGACACAAACGGTTTCATCCATCTGTTGTGACCTGGAAAACATCTCTGGACTGGAGAGTCGGTGCCGCGGTCATTCTACAACCTCGGTGCCAGAGGTCATCCGACTTCTCTGACCTTCGTATCCATGAAGAGGGTCTTCCAAAGGGCGAGGTAGACACAGCATGATCGCGTCTGATGTGGCTTTGATAAGAATCAACTTCATAGCTTAACGCAAACCAAATTCTTTCCTTTTACACCCAGAACTCAGTTCTTCTAGATACGAAATATTCACACATAGGCACCATACCTCACATTCCATCTACCTAGACCAGGGGTCGGCAACCCAAAATGTTGAAAGAGCCATATTGGACCAAAAAACAAATATGTCTGGAGCCGCAAAAAATTAAAAGCCTTATATAAGCCTTATAATGAAGGTAACACATGCTGTATGTATCTATATTAGCCTACTATCAAAATGACTAAGTTGGCTACAAATACATAATGAGCCTTCATGATTAAATGTTTATTTTCCCTGTAGCGCATCCTGTAGAGAATGACGCACCACGTGACTACTCTGTTGTATGATGCCGCCTCAAGTTTAAATTAATTACAATATTAATGAATCATGTTTCATTGCTTTGATGAAATTAAAGAAATGCAATAAAGAAACCCGATTTTTGATGTCATTTTTATTTTTAGGATTCGAAAAAACAACAAAATGGAACGTGCATAACGTGCCCCTCATCGGGGCAACAAACACTGCAATAAAACGCAGCCTGCATTTATAAAAACGACTCCTTCATGTAGTCACCATCTGTGAACGGTTTTCCACGCTTTATTATCTCCCAGGTTGCAACAAAACTTGCAGCAGTAGTGGAGTTTGGAGATGCAATCCACTTTTTAAATTTATTTTTGCGCTCCTGTAATTTCTCCAGAAGTAATGCAATCGCACTTTTTCTCTCACTCCCAGCTGGATACTCGGCTGCAAATGTAGCATGCCTTCCCTGGAAATGTCTTTCCACATTACTCTTTTTGTTATTTGACAACTTCTCGTTACAGAGCAAACATTCAGGCAATCCTTCCGCATTGGCAATCAATGCAAATGATTCCGTCCAAGAAACGTTGAATCCTCTGTTCTCCTCAGTTATTTTTCTCTTTTTCCCTTTGGGATCCATGGCCCATCACACAGCTGCCAATTTGTTTACAACAGCCACCTGCCTGGCATCCCGACCGGCTGATAGAAACGTGTGTCGCAGGCTATGACGCAAATCTTCGTTGACAGAAATGTTGAAATTTAAGATTTTTCTACACATTTTTACAGCACTGAAAAACGTTAAGAATGTTTGTGTCATGTTTGTCCTCCTACAGAAACTATATTAAAACAAAAAATGTATTTCCTTCCACCATCTTTTTCCATTTTAAAACATTTTTGAAAAGGCTCCAGGGAGCCACTAGAGAGCGCTAAAAAGCCGCATGCGGCTCTAGAGCCGCGGGTTGCCGACCCCCGACCTAGACCCATCCACTCACAGTAATATTAGTTAACTTGTCATGTTTTCAATTGTTTGGAAAATAAATTCTTACTTTTTATAAACCTGACTCTTTCCTTAAATCAAGACGAAGTGTTCTACAATCCCTGAAGAAACAAAGAATCCTAGAATCTTCTGATTAAGCATCCAAAGACCAAGCAGGTTGGTATTCTATATTTATATAGAGTATCACAGCTTATTGGTCATAAGTAGAGGTAACATATTAAGCTCTTAAAGCACTACATTCACCAACTATTACTGTCCAAACTGATACATAACATGTTTAACATGAGGCATCTGAACTATAATAGTGGGATTAACATTTCAGTGGTGGAAACAAAACCTACTGCACACTGCTGCCAACTAGTGGTCGGTGTTTGAATTGCACCAAAAGAAACGAAAATACACAAATGCTCGCGTGTAAATTCTTCCAAAAAATCGATACACGGCTTTTGAATACTGATTTAATAACGCAGGCAAAAATATTCCGATAAATTGCTTTATCGATATTTTCTGACATCCCTACTAGAAAAAAGATATCCATTTGACTAAAATAAAACACCTCCTTAAGTTGGTACAGTTTAAAGCAGATCAGCACAATTTATCAGAATAAAAAATGACAATAAGAAACTTGCAGGATGTAAAATCCAGGCTTCATCTCACTCTCTGACAGATTCTCAGACTCAGCTGCAGGAGCAGAAGCCCCTACGGTGAATAGCTGAGGGGCAGCTGTCAGTCAGAGGTGCCAATCAAGACATCACAACCCCCTTTTATGTAACGTCAATTAAACTTGGACTTATTTAAAAAGAACACTTGAACCTACATCAGGGGAGTTAGGAGGCAAACCAGAAAACAACCTGGATTCATTAGAAATTAAATAAAAATGCCAGAGAAACCAGATCTTGACCTGATCATAAGTGAAGCCAGAAGGAAATAAAGGACAGGTTGTGTGGTAGGAACAGTGAAGGTGTGCAGGATTATGCTCAGAATATCAAAGAGTGGCTGGATCAGGACGGGTTAGGCTTGCGGTCATTAAGCATGCTCTCCTGCACTGATGAAGGAAGGTAAGAGAGCAGCGGCCGGCTAATTGGAGTCGATTTCTGCATGACCAGGTGTGTGTACATGTGTGTTTGTCCGAGGGTGCACGCACATACTTATTTGTGAATAACTGTTCCTCCACACGTTCAGAGAAAAGGAAGATCTAGACTCATTTTATCCCCCCTGTGTGTGAAACACCTGATTCTGGCTCACTTTACACTTCAACAAGAGTTTTGTTTTATTTATTTTTTTAGTCCCCATCGTTCAACCAACCTGGAGGCAGAGACAGAGCCCAAAGCTAACAAGATGAATTTAGCTAGGGAAGCAACTGAAGGGCGGACATATTGACAGACACGGAGCACAATTGAATCAAATTAGTCTACAGAGTATTTATTTAGTCCAATTAGTTCCAGGACTAATTCCAGCAAAGGAAATTAGCAATAAACTGCTCACCTCTGCAGAACCTTAAACCTTTCTTTCCTGGTGTTGTAAAGGCAGCTCAACAGAATTAATTAAATCATTTAAAATACAAATGAAGACGCACTTAGATGTTTGGGTTTTGCTTTTCACCAACAACCTCTGACAAGAACAGCATTTCACAATAATGGTCACACAGCAATATTGGATTTAATTGGTCTCAACATGTTCACTTACACAAGCGCACATGGCCTAAATAAAGCAGCAGAGGCAAAATCTTCCTCACGAGGAATTATTTCTGCTCTTTGAGGACAAACAGAACCACACCAAGGTGATAATTAAGAGCCTGGGTTTCTCAGCACACGTTTAAATGTTCGAACAAGCTTTGTCATCAAGAACAGTGTTGAGATTTGTGAGGCAAGAATATCTCATCTTTGGTTGGTCCTTCTGAATAACAGTCAGTGTTTGTTCTAATCACCGGCACTTTCTGATTGATAATTGATTAACTCACCCAGCATCTTGGCTCACATGCTGGCTTCTACTGCAAAAATAATTCAGAAACAATCTTTCTTGGACCCATTTTTGTTGTTTTTAGGTAAATTATTATAAAGTGAAAGATATCTTTTAAACGTGCATTAACTCATTCGCTGCCAACGTTTCTCACCGTTTTTACTGTGTTTTTAAGAGTCACAGAATGTTGCGCGCTAGGATGATGTCGACGCCCAACAACCAAAACAAAGCGGAGACTCACCTCTTACATCAGGAAGAATCCGCGCATTTCGAGCGTTATCCGTTCTTTCATAATCCGTTGTCAAATTGTGATCGGCAGAAGCTTTTCCGGTACGCGCCTTACTTTTTTTTTTTATCGCAGAGGCCCAAAACGATCTCCTAACACATGGATTTTCTACTTCCTGATCATGATACGTGGGATGTATGCGGATGAAGATCGGCTTTAGAGCTGAGATGTTTGTTCTCACGTTGTGGGGGCTCGTCCGACGCCCACACAGTAAAAACATGCAAATGATGACTTTAGTCGCCACTGGTAGTGAATGAGTTATTACCAAGGGGGAAACCCCAATGACAAAAAGTGAAGCCAATATGGAAGCACCACTAACTGCAATTCCTCCCTCAGCCACTAGGGGCAAAATCAAGAAAAGAAGAAGTTCTCATTGACTCCCATTTTAAAAATGCCAACATCACAGAAGAAATAAACACGTTTACAGCCTGTTTCAAAAACTTTTTAGGTTTTATAGATTTTATTTGTAACTCTTGTGTTTAGAGGTCACTAAAGCTTGGAAACATAAAAAATCAGGGGAGTGTGCTTTTGATTGACATGTAGAAGATAAGCCATCAAAGCCAGCACTAGCAGCTTGCCGCCCTGTTTGCTCCCGAGAAGGCCGAGGATAGCAGACTCACTTCAACACAGTTTTCTGGCTAAAAGCATGCTAACCTCTGTTAGCTTTGGTTAGCTCAGTTAGCTCGTAGCTATATTGACTCAGAGTTTGTGGCTGTCAATCATCTGCCCCCAGCCTCACATCCCCATTCTCCGGTCAGTTTTTGTATTTTCTGGGAATGATGAGAGAACAGCCAAGATGGCGGTGGTGGGAACCTACGGGTGACGGTGCAGATGGTGTGTCTATTATATCTACAGTCACTAGTACTGACAAACTGTCTTTCTCAGAGCAACTTTTTCTCAGCTGACAAAATCCTAACTTTTTAAACCAATCATGCAGAAATCTGGAGCCGTACAACGTAATTATTCATCTCAAATGTTACATAAACACACTGAGACACAAACTAAATCTTGAAGCTCAAGTTCTTTTTAAGACAAACTCAGCAGATTACTTCATTTGAAAGAGCTGGTGAGTAAAAAAATAAAAACAAGAAATCAAAGAACGAAGTAGGTAAAGACAGCGATTATGTAGAGAGTGAAGACTAATAGTGGTGTGCTGGCATGCCTGTTTTTCAGATTCCACCAAGCTTCAAGCCTTTGTCCTAAAGCATTAAAAAGATTGGACTCTAACACTGTGCAAGCAAAATTACTGAGAAAAATATCTCTTTTACTATGACTTGGAAAATAATTGAGGGACGCACTTGTGAGGGAAAGCCAATAAATGCAGAATAGGTAATGTAGCGTAGTTACTGATTGAAAACACACAATGTTTGGGTTTTTTATCCATGCATCCATTATCCATTCATCCGTTCATCCACTGGTGGATGTACCAGGTCCAGAAGGTACATCCACATAACTCCAAATAATGAGGTCTGCAACCTTTACAATACAAATAAAGCCTTTTTCATTGTCACTACCACCCAGTATGATTAGTGTAGGGCCACAAAATCGACTTAACCCTATAATACAGATACCTGTTTTTAAAGAAGTGTCATTTTTCTCTTCAAACATGCGTGTAGAAAATATTTTATGGCACTGACATTCTTTGAAGTACACAAATGACATGTGTTTTAAAACAAAATTTACACTTTTGTGCTTAGAACTAGGCAGAGCTACTTCCTAAACAGCTGAACAGTAGAGCTGGTTACAGTTTTTAATTCAAAATTATCGACGGTTTTAGCTAAATTAAGTATTATAATTACAGGAAACGGTGTTGGTGGTTGGCGACAGTCATGGTGAAAGTTACCAAAGAGGGCCTTCAGAGGGGATGAAGAGTCACATGTGGCTTTAGAGTCCAAGTGGGGGGTTGTAAAGCATTCCCAGACCAGAGATGATATATAATCCCTCCAGTAAGTTCTGCCCGACTTCTACTCCTGGTGGGATACCAACCATATGACCTCTTGACTCATGCACTGCCATTGACGTGCATGAGTCGTCATTTGAAATCCATCCATTCACTGCCAATTTTTTTTACTATGTGGGCATCAGAACGCACCGTGCGGACACCGCACCGTGAGAACAAACATCTCAGCTTTAAAGTCGATCTTCATCCACATACGTCACATGTCACGTGATCAGGAAGCAGAACATCCATGTGTTAGGAGATCGTTTTGGGCCTCTGCTGTAAAAAAAAAGTGAGGCATGAACCGGAAAAGCTTCTGCCGATCACAATTCAACAATGGATTATGAAAGAACGGGTAACGCTCGAAATGCGTAGATTCTTCCTGATGTAAGAGGTGAGTCTCCGCTTTGTTTTGGTTGTTTTGGTGTCGACATCATCCTAGCGCGCAACGTTCTGTGACTCTTAAAAAAACAGTAAAAACGGTGCGAAACGCTGGCAGCGATTGAGTTAATCAGAAGCCAAAACCAAATTGGCTGACTTATTTTGGTGAGAAGAAAGAATGAAAGAAGTCCTCATCGCTAAAGCTAATCAATGCCCCTGGACAGAGGAAGAACATTCCAGGCACATCTTCTTCTGGTCACAGCTGGTCAGTCAAACTCCTAATCCACTTTAGATATCACTCACAAATAAGACACCTAGACATTAAGCATTTTATTGTGAAGAATTTATTTGGATTGATTTAGGATCAATGAATACACTCACCTAAAGGATTATTAGGAACACCTGTTCAACTTCTCCTTAATGCAATTATCTAATCTACCACATGACAGTTGCTTCAATGCATTTAGGGGTGTGGTCCTGGTCAAGACAATCTCCTGAATGCCAAACTGTATGTCAGAATGGGAATGAAAGGTGATTTAAGCAATTTAAGAATCTTGTTGATGCTAGAGGTAAGAGGAGAATGGCCAACTAACTCAAGCTTACAGAAGAGCAATTTTGACTGAAATAACCAGGTGGAGTTGTCCTGAGTACAGCAAACAAACAGGAGTTTTAAAGGATAATCCAAAAACGTAATCCAAGACAGTCTGAAGTTCTAAATCCAATAATCCAAAAAAACGAGTCAAGCGAGCAAACAAACACGAGTGGCTGGGGCTACCTAAAATTGAGCAATCATCCGGCGTAGAGTGGTGTCTCCATCCTCTTTTTATACCCGACTTCCTGATTGGAGATTCAGTGCAGCTGCTGCCCCCTCCGCTTCTCACCTGTGGGAAATTGACCCGGAGATGGTTAGTGGAAGAGAATTACTCACCTTGGCTCGTGAACATGACAGTTATGTGCCAAACCGGGCGTTGAGATCTGCTTATTGCCTGCTGCTTCGCGTTCCAGCAATGAAATACAAAACGCGGGGGCAGCGTGCTTTGTCTATGCTGCTCCGACACTCTGGAATGCTCTTCCTCTTTCAGTGAGGCTGGCACCATCCCTCCTCCGTTTGAAGTTGCTACTTAAAGAGCGGGTCAAGTGTGCCTCAGAGTCCTTCTCCACCCAAGTATCAATTTTAAAAACTGCAACATTAGTAGGAGTTGCCTGGTGGACCGAGAGGGCGGAGCCGTGGCAGTGACGAAGACGATGGGTAACGAGACGATGCTAGCTCCTTTCACTCTGAGCAGTCATTAGAAGTGGAGGTTTCTCCCCCTCCTTACCCAGACACTCGAGAAGAAAGGGACCAAGTCTATTTGGAGGAGACAAGCGGACCTGAGCCTTATTGTTTTGAGCTTGTGAGTTGCCTGAAACTAGCGGAACCGACCCAACAGAACCAGCTCTGAATGGTAAGTAGCCGTTAGCCATAGCATTAGATTAGCTGCAGGGTTTGGCTCCACGGCCCTATAGAGCCAGTATTCAGCATGTTTTAGAGATTTATCTGCTTCAACACACCTGGTTTTAGTCAGCAACAAATAGCTGAGCTGCTTAACAGCTAATCTAACCTGTTAAAGCAGGAAAACCACTGAAACGTGCTGGATAGCAGCTCTCCAGGAGCCCTGGGCTCAAGTTACAATCTGCTGCATAAAGTTATGAAAATATCCCATGAGAAAATTATTCTGTAATGTGTTCAGCCCACTAGAACTGCCCTGATTTCATTATTTATTTACTGATACCAGCTGCTCTCTTGGTCGTATGTGATCCTCTGGTGTCTGCTGCTGGTCTCCTCTGCTGGTGTCGTCAGGATCAGGAGCTTTCAGAAGAATGTGCCTTTCAATGACTCTTTCCCCCTTATTTGCTATATTATTTAAATAAATCTCAATTTATATATTTCCTGTTTTTGTTCATGTCCATAAATACTTAAACATGCTTGAAATTAAAATGAGCTTTCAACAGTGAGGTGCTAGTTTAATTCATCACAATAGAGCTAGTTAAACATGCAACAATGTGATAATTAAACTAATGTAATTTATAAATATCCATTAAAATATCAAAACTGGAATCAAAATGAGATATTTGGCAGCACAAAAAACTTGTCAAACACAATATTTATTATAATAATTGTAGGCAGACAGGAGACAGAGCTGATGGAGGTTCTCAGTCATCGAAGGATGGCTGAAGGCTTTCCAGGAACAGGAGATGTGGTGTTGTCTCTTCTCTCTCTATTCTGCCAGATGAGTTGATAGGTTACAGGTGTGTGAGGACATTCTCATGCTGTCACAACCAGATGACATGAGTTATCAGGTGATCAGCCAGCCTAATGATGAGATGCAGAAAGAAAACAAATCCAGGACAGTATACAATAATAACAATAATATGTGGTGTTACTCACCTTATGTGCTCTTATAGAGTATTAACGTGTGCCTGCCTCATGGTGTAGAGTCCATATTTTGCTGAGTGTCCTGCAATAATGCAGGTTATAAGTTAATTTACTTTTGATAGCAAAGAACAAAATATTTAATGTAAAAGTTATTTACTGACTGTTTTCCAGACACCAATTGCGCGCAATCACTGGCGCCTAATTTCTAAGTCCAGCGGAAAGGAGTGCAACCCAACAGAGCCACCGCAGCCCCAATACACTACACCTTCTCACCATACTAACACGATATGGAACACTAAACCCGAACTACTTTCCTAATAACACTAACAGCCAAACACTAACTAAACTACAATATCCAACAGCCAAACTAACACTAAATAAGTATTTATAACACTAAAAGCTATGCTAAAGACTAGGATATGCTAATGCTATATGCTAATGCTAACCTTCCTACACTCGCTTGCAAATCCAACTCCCAACTCGCCACAAGGCGTGGCCGAGAATCTCGATGCTTTATAACTTTGACACAGAGCTGCTACGTAGTAATCTACTGGTTTACGTAGTATCTTTCTCTTTAGCCATTGGCTAAAGTGTATTCAAAATGACTCAAACTCTATGTTTTAAGCTGAAGGTGGCGCTATACTGTGGTATTTAGGCAGAATTTTTAATTTTTAAAGAAAATGCACCAAAATGCTAAAATAATGAATACACACATTTAAAACACTATTAGACACTCATTTATACAGTTCATCTGCAAAAAAAAAGTTAATTTAGACGTTACTGGCTCTTTAAGGCTCACTTTTACAACCAGGCATTTTAAAATCCCTGACTTTTATTATTTTACTATCTGTCTTTTTATTGACCGTGATTATCTACTTCGTTGTGTATTTTATTGTTGACCGCGTTTTGTTTTTATATTGTGTTTTTACTTTTTATTCTGTACAGCACTTTGGCCGTTTTTAAATGTGCTTTATAAATAAAGTTGGAATGGTTTGGTATGGTATGGAATGGTATGGTATGGTATGGTATGGTATGGTATGGTATGGAATGGTATGGTGTGGTATGGTAGGCTCTGATCTGGGGTAAAGGCTATTTATGTGTCATAGACTTAACTTTACCTTACTTGTTCCTGTGTGAGTGCATTATGGTTATGACCTGGTCAAGTAGACATGCTGAAACATTTTCATTGAGCACAGATTAATGAAACATATGTCATTATTTTATAATTATTATTAGTAGCAATAAACAAATGTTCATTTAATGATTATTTAACTTTATTAGTTGTGGAAGTTCATCTTTAATTTTAAAATCTTCTTTCTTATTTCTTCTGTGAGCAAAGAGACTTAGAAAAGAGGGTGCTCTGTGAGGGACCTAGAGGAGCGAATGTTGTTATGATTTCGTTATCTCTGTCAGAGCTGCAGACTCTGAGCTCCAGCTGGTGGGATGAAGGCAGGCTGATTTAAAGGGAACACGTGCAGTCTCGTGCCTCCTTTTTGACCAGATGTTGGATGGTCAAACAGTGCCTAAAAACTGACCATTGCTGGACGTTACATTAGACAGTAAATGGGTCACAGAATGCACAACATTGTAAAACAGCTTTATTAATGTGTTAAAAATATTTGTTTTATTTTTTCTCTCATTTTGATTCTGTGGCACAGCTGTTGGGGAAGCGAGGCATCTGTTTTGGGATAGCTGGTTGGACATTTTGATGAAACTAAAAAATAATTGCTTGTGATGTTGCAGCTGTGTGATGAGTACAGTAGTAAGTGCTTTCAATTGTTTCCTCCCTTTATCACACTGATGAGGTTCTCACTGTGATGTCCTCCTAATTACATAAAGTTTTTAACAGATCAAAAGCTGTGCTTCAACTGCTTCACAAACTACAATTATTTATGTTTTATACGAGGACAAATAGATGGTGCATTCTTCTAAATAATTGATTGTGAATTTAAGATTTAGTCTCGCCAAGCCCGCCTTTTATCACAGATTCTGTTCAAAACTTTTATGGACAGGATTTCTAGGTGCAGCCAAGGTGTTGATGGGCTCAATTTTATATTGTGTTTTTACTTTTTTATATGTATCTATATATATATAAATACATATATATATATATACATACATATATGTATATATATATATATATATATATATATATATATATATATATACATATATGTATGTATATATATACATACGTATGTATATATATATATATATATATATATATATATAGATATAGATATAGATATATATAGATATAGATATAGATATAGATATATATAGATATAGATATAGATAGATACTTATTGTAAGTAAAGCAGTCACAGACGTATTCATCATAGGTTCTTTTATGTTGATGCAGTCTGAATGTTGCTGTGTCTCAATTAAATTTGAGCTCTTTGGGGAAAAAAAAGGTGCAGTTTGAAAAGCTGTAATAGCTGCCGTAAGTCACGGATTATAAGTAGATGTTTGCCTGTTTGCCACGATTTCACCCACAATTATGTTGTCAAATGTGCTGCTCAGATTTCTGTTGGAAGTTGGAAGTGCTGGTGTCTCTTCAGTGCTTAAACTGTTTAATAACTTAAGAGTTGACATTTGGAGTTTAGAAGAGGTTGCAGGCCAACCTGCTTTGGCTGCATTATTTGTTATTTTAGTGATATAACTTCTGAGTTTTACTTTTTATGATCAAAGTTTTTATTAGTTTGCAGAGACCACCGACAAGCACTTGCAACCCCACCAGTGTGGAACTGGAACTCACATTGTTCATCCTTGATAGTCTACTGGGAAGAGCCTGGGTCCTTGTCAACATGTTCTCACATCCCACTCATCTCATAAACATGCTTGGCCAAGACCCTTTGGCCGGCTTTATCGTGGTGTAGATTTGGCATGGAGGTTTAAAAATAAATCTCTTTACATCAAATATGTTGTCCTATAACTGAATGGGGTTCTTTTTTTTTTCGTGTAATTTCTCAGAACTTTATTTTGGAGTTTCCTCCTCATATTGCATGGAGCAGCGTTGGTGCTAATGCACTAAAAAAGAAAAAGATGGTGGGTGAAGAAACGCCCAAATTGGATTATTGTGGTAACACGACACTGGGTCAAATTTGGACTGAGCCAACAGTTATTTTAACTCATTTGCTGCCAGCAGGGGAGGATTAAGGTATACAGGGGCCCGTAGGCTACACTTATTCTGAACCAAAAATGCTTGATTGAAGCAAATTATTCTTATCCTATATTCTTATCTGCAGATATTTATTTTAATTAGGGCTGTCAAACAACTAAAAATGTTCATCTAATTAATCATAGTGTATTTGTGAATTAACCATAATTTACCAATATTTTCTGGCATTTTCATCCATTTCACCCCAGCAGCCAGTATCCGGAAGACCAACACCAACTGCTCTGCTGTAAAATCACTGTTAAAAAAACTCCCAACATGGGGGAATTCCCCCACAACAACGTAGTTCACAAAGCTTGTTGCTCCATAAAGTGCCAAAAAAAAACCCTGCTTCTTCTGGTCATTGAACACTATATTTTACATCATGTATGCTCTCCTCCTAGATTAAATTATGCTATACATCGACAGAATGACACTTTTAAGGATAAATATTGTTACTGTGGATGCTTTTTGGCGCTTTGACTCACTGCTGAAGCAGTTGCGATTTTATCTGTACAAAACAGAATTTCAACGTAAAAATTTCATCAGCAAAAATTCTACATCAGAATTTCTGGTGCAAATTTCATCAAAAGACATTCAACTGCAAAAATTCTACAACTGTGGTGATCTCTTCGCGACCCAAGCAAAAGTAATCATCAGTCGATTAAGTCAAGTGGATTTTAGCCCATCAAATCACGCTTTTTCCAACGATGAGAAGGGGCTCCCGGATGCCCCTCTGGGATAGAGCCAGCTGGGTATATCATGGACTCCTGGAAACAGTGGAACCTGATATGCCTCTTGTGTTGAAATGTTGTAGAAAGTCACTGTTTTACATGAGTGACCAGCAAAGGTCACTGTTTTTTAACGAGCACATTAGGGTAGCACAAGGAAGAAGACCACAGGTGGTGTTGATACAATAAAGAAATGTTTGTTGGAGCTAGAGGCTCAGAGACACGGAATGGTCTGCTGTGTGATCCTTCACTAACCCTTAAAGAACAAAACGTCAGGAGTGGGATCGTGGAAGTGAAGAACGACAGAGATACCAGGCAACAGTTCCTATCAAGATGGAAAGTTTGAAGCCACCGGAAGGACCGAAGCTGGTGGGAAATGTCGACAGCAACTGGAGGTGTTTTGAACAGCAGTTTGAGCTGTATATGGCTGCCATGGGGCTAGACTCCAAACCAGATGCAAGAAAGATTGCATTGCGCAAAAACAGATCATTTCCTCTCTGCCTTAGTGTTCTGTTGGTCTTCAACCCCTCAAGATCCAATAATGGCGCAATATGACAAGACAACGCGACCACTTGGACTGCTCGCTAAGGACGATGTTGTGAGAATCCAGGATCAAAATGTATGGGGCAGAAAAGCCATTGTTCTTCAGGACGCATTATGAAGATGTGTTCAAAGGCCTGGGATGCCTAACATACACATACAGCATTCAGTTGAGAGAAGATGCGACATCGGTGATCCATGCACCAAGGAGAGTCTAAGATTAAAAAATCCCCTTAGGAGGATGCTGCTTAGGAGGATGCTAGTTCTAAAAATCTTCCTGAGAATAACTGCTCTCTCTTCCTGCACCTGTCGGTGCTACCTCGTCGACTTGTGTCACACACTAACCCTCCACCACTTCTCTCGGACGGAGGACGACCTCTACTCTCTTACTCTCTACCACTGCTCTGTCTCTCTCTAACTGCTCTTTTTATATCATTCTAAAAAACTGCCAAGCCAAACATTTTCCATAGTGAAGCAATATCTTAACCAGTCATGAGACAGCCTAAACAATGTAATCAGTTGTCAGTTACATACATCTTTTTCTCACAAGACAGCAAAACAATGTGATTATTTGTCAGTTACATATCTCAGTCAAACACAAGACAGCCAAACCCACATGATCGTTATATTTGTAAACTGGTTTCAGCTCCACCC